TGGCAGGGATAGAGTTTTGACTCGACCATTCCACCAGGTCAAGGCTCTGTCGGTGAAGGTGCAGGCGGCGAACTTCACCTTGTTTGCTTCAGAACAAACACAAATTTCGAAGATGGATTCGATCTTCTCGAACCATCGAGTCAGGGCGATGACACCTCCATTTCCGTCGAAGGACTTGGGTTTCGCAGTCATGAAGTCCTTGTAGGAACACTCTTTTTTGATGTCCCTGACTTCCATCTTGTCTCTGGGGGTCGGTCCACCTCCAGTTCCACCAGCGTTCACTTGTGCCATTGCTGCAGTCACGGCGGCAGTAACTACAGCCTCAAACATGACAGGGTCGAACTGAGGAGGTGGTGGTCGTGGCGAAGTGTCATCGTTCCTTCTGATGGGTCTTGGTCGAGGAGGCATCTTGTTCTAGAAACAATCAGAAAGAAGAGGATGGTAAGTCCTCGAGATATAAAAACAAAATATATCTCATCCTGATAATGAAAGTATTCTACCGAGCGATAAACACAGAAAGGTTACTAATACAAGTAAGTTATCGCTTAAGGGAGAAGAGGTAGCAACACTTAGAGTGAATCTGTATACTGAGTTTGATTCTAGCGAAAATACTCCTATAGTATTTTTTTGTGAGATGATTTTGGTAAGTTTCAGACCTGCTGTAGCACCACAGTCACTCCCAAACACATGTTGGTCATGTCTCGACTGAATATAGTTGATCAGGCTATATTCACCCTAGACATGATCACATAACTGCCCAGGTTTAACCGCAGTGTTCCAGCATCCAAATACTTTTGTTCTTTTCTACTAGCGACACGAATTTTTGTTATGTATGCATGCTCGTATACTTTTTATAAAAATACTTTATATTTTGAAAGTATACTTTTAGCGTAGAGCACTTAGGCCCCTTAGTGTTTATAGTTGTATACCACGTAAGGTTCGGTATACTAGTTCGCTATAAACAAGGGCTCTGATACCAATCTGTCACACCCCTAAACCAGAAAGGCGGAAACGTTCCGGGGGTGGAGGACGTCATGTGTAGCATCACAACCAATGAATAACAGCAATCATAGCAACACAACCATTACAGTGAATACTTAAGTAAAAATGTTTACATCAGTTCTGAAACTTGTTTGGATTACATCATATAACTTGTATGAATATAAACATTAAACTCTTATTGCTTTAGCTCTTCAAAAATCCAGCAGGTACCTGTCTACTGATTTCCTAAGAATACAAGCAGTTTAAAAGAGTATCAGCATAAAGCTGGTGAGTTCATAAGCGGTGGTTTGTAGTGAAAATCGTTGATGAGTTCAGAAAATATTTGTATAGTTTCAAGAAGATCCGATATTTTCCTTAGTGAAAATGTAGTGTTATCAATTCTGTAATAAACCATGAATATATGTATGTTTCCAAGAAAATCCGATATTTTCTTTAGTGAAAAGGTAGCGTTATCGATTTCGTATAAAACCATGAATGTTCGTTACTGAAAACTGTAGTGATATGCGAAAATACTACCTCATGTGACTAGCTAAAACTAATCATGAAGTGTAAGTATTTTGTATGTGAAACCATTGCATAATCGGTTCTGTTTGAATACCCTGGCTTTAGCCAGTATACGTAGTGTGTATCAGTTCTATTTAGTAAAAATAAAACTGTTGAAGAGTGTTAAGTTGTAAACTAAAGGTGATTTATACATAATGTGAGTCGTATAACCATGCTTGATATGACTAGTGACCTTTCCAACGTTCTTCAGGCGTCGAGTTAAATGACATTTGTACATCTCAGGTGTGCCCGCCTAACTGTAGCTAGCAGTCCAGATGTAGGATTGTCAGTCCCAAATAGATCTATTCACAAATCTCACGCTCTCCCTCCAGGAGACTCTGGTTATACAGTGGTAGGATTTATCCATGTACACCTAAGGGTACAGTAGTGAAGTGGCGCCTCACAGTATCGTACAATCTAGTTTACATGTAGTGTAGTAGCGTTCTACCGTAGTGAAAATCCGTATGTATACCGTATATAATGATAATTACAGTTATGAAAAACCATGATAAAGTGGTGATGTAACTGTAAACTATTTCTGTCTTAGTGCATACGTTTAATAGTGAAAATTTTTGTACTCATGATGTTTAGAAAAATCCCAAACTATACCGATTATAGTTTGCATGAATAGTGAATAGCGTGTCCGGAAAACTATGCAATTTTTTGTGAAAACGTCCCTTATGCTCAACACAGTACAAAAGGGTTAAAGTATGAGATTTGCATAAGTTTTGAAAACATTTGTGTTTAGCTTGTATCCCCCCCTCCCCTGAAAACATTGAAAATATGGAAAAATGTAGGGGTATGAACTCACAGTTGTCGCGTGAAATCGTTGACTGAAAATGAAGATCCTCGAGTTGTTGCACGACACTTAACGAAATTCTATCATCAAATAAATACATATATGTATCTAAATTAGCGATTTTCGATAAATAAAGTGTCATAAGAACACTTGTATTCGGTTGAGGAATGTTACCGGGACTTGATCGAATCAAAGAGGGTGAGTTTTCAGTCAAAAACACCACTTAAAAGGTGTTTACGGTCGAAGTGGACTTTACGGTTCTTGAAGGCTTGGACCGTAAACTCAGGAACATAGTTTACGGTTTCTGAAGGTTGGACCGTAAACTCAAGAACAGAGTTTACGGTTTCTGAAGGTTCGGACCGTAAACTCAAGAACAGAGTTTACGGTTTCTGAAGGTTGACCGTAAACTCAAGAACACTAGATCTGGGTGTTGATTTCGAAGAGATGAGTGCCCTGAGACGTTCCAAAGCGACCCAAACGTGGTTTCTCGATGATTTCCGAAGTTTGAAGGCGTTTTGAGTGTTTACGGTTAAGGTTCTTAGAGAGAGAAGGAGAGAGTATTTGGCCAGAAATGTTCTAATGAAGGTGGAGGCATCATATTTATAGGGGTGTTGTGGGGGGTCCACCTTTCACTGACCGTAAACAGGTTTACGGTCGTAAACGAGTTTACGGCCGTAAACACGTTTACGGTCGTAATCTCATTTAGACCGCAAATGCTTGATTTTTCGAGATATTCGGGTTCCTGCGCGATTTTTGGTTCCAACTCGTAAATAATAATTTAATTAAATATAACTAGATTATTTTCTAAACCAAAAAGTTTGACGGAAAAGTTAACAAATTCGAAATTTTATTAACGAAACTCGCGTAACGGAAACGGACAAAGTTTCGGGTTGTCACACTGGCTGAGTCCCTAACCAACTCAACTCACACCCTTAGCAGAAGGGTTTGGGGGCAAGAAACTGGTCCGACTCGCCGAGTCCCAGAACGGACTCGTCGAGTCCCTCTATGTCCAACCCTATTCAGACGATTACAGTCCATTCCAATGCTTCCCACTTGTAGATCTGGACTCCTGGGGCTAGCATTACACGTAAAGTTGCCAACTTTACGTGCATGCAAAGAGCTATGAAGCTTGAACATCAAATCCAAGCTAAAATGAAGGTCCATAACAAGAAATGATGCTATAGCTGAGTAAAGCTTCTCACTCAGAGCTCCTAAGGCTCATAAATGCACAGATCTAAAGTCCTCTTCGTCCACAAAGGCTCAATACTCGGATTGACCTTGGAAATGGCCCAAAAATGACAAAATCTAGGTTTAGAAGAGGATCTACATGACTATCAGTCAAGATATGAGCTTCATACCTTCAATTGATCTGAAATGCTTCCCAAACTCTGGATCTACTGCCTCTTCTTGAATCCCCAAGGTTTTCCTTCTTCCTTCTAGCTTTAAATCACTCAAAAATGGCAAGAGAAGCTTAAGAACACTCAATGGCTGCTTAGGGTTTCGAGAGTAGGTGAGGGGAGTGATGGAGACTGGGGTGGAGGCCTGAAATGATGCTTAAATAGGGTACCAAGTCCGGAAATTAGGGTTTCCCAACCCAGACTAGACTCGCCGAGTCTACTCGCCGACTCGTCGAGTCGGTCACTTACTCTTCCACCCGGATCCCGCTTCGACTCGTCGAGTTCTTCCTTGGACTCGACGAGTTGACCCCTTTGACTTAGGGTTTTCCTTTCCTTTCTTGGCCTTTCTGATTCTGGGTGTTACACAGGTTGTTAAAGATTTCTTCGTGCTTACTCTCTGAGAAACTCATCTTCAAGAAATTATAAGAGATAATTATAGCTAATTGGAAGTAAGCGTCTAAGTACATGCAGACACATATATATGTAGGGGACGGAAATTAAGGTTTGTAATTTGGAATAACTGTTCGGAACAGGTCTCCGGTACGTGCATCTCTGAGTCCGTGTTGTCATTTCAAAGTACGAGCATCACAGTCGTACGTAGATTCCTGTTTCGGTCATTGGTACTCCGGAATGTAAGTCCGGAATATACGAAGATTCTTATTTTGGACCAGAGCTCCAGAATGAAACCTTGATTCCAGAATGCCCTATTCCAGAGAAAGTGTGGTCAGCAGTGTTCCAGAATAAATCCCTAACTCTGGAATGCCTTATTACGAAGAAAACTGTCATTTTTCAAAAAAAAAATTAATTGATACTCGTTTAAATGGTTAATTTACTTAATTTCCTTTATTTCAAATGTTGTTCTTTATACGTTTATATAATATGGGATTAACGACCAAGCCCGTTATTTAGCTATTTTTGTTGAGATCATTTTAAACTTCATTTAAGGTCATCACAAACGTTTACCCTGACCAATGCACGATGTACATTTTACAATTTAAACGGTTAATTTGTTAAATTCCGAATAAAATAAATTTTTGATTACGTATTCCCTTTATGATCATTTTAGTAAATATATGTGCTTGAATCTTGAACATTTTTTAGATTATATCACAATAACATTCATAATATTTTTTCCAAATGCCTTTGTGTTACAAAACCCTCATTGACTTACACTTTTTTTTAGAGATTTTGCTTCTAAGATACTGAAAACACACACACATCAATTTGGACGTGGAATTTCCCAATATCAGAACAAAGCAATGACTGGCGTTTCACTTGTGAGTGATCAAAATGACATTCGTTCGCATGCGGGAGAAGGATCATATTCAACGCACCACCAGATGTTGGAAATTGAAGACGAAGATAGCAAGATACTCGTTAATTTACAGTATTATGGGGATAATTCGTACATGTGGCTCCTGAGTTGTCTACATCTGCATACCTTGTCGTTGTATGATCATCCCCTCAACAAATGCACTTCTGATTTTAAAACTAAAAAGTTGTTTCTTTTTCGTGTTACGTTTCGACATAACCAAAAATTTCTTCTATTAATATTAATTAAACTCATAAATCATTGTTAAAGTTAAAAGTGAATAAATTTTGACATTTGATGCTAGATGTCGATCGTTTTGGGGATCGAGCTAATATTTTATTAAAAAGTATTTAACTCGTAGATAGGGCAATATGCTTTTTATATAATTGTATAAATATATAAGAACACTAGGGAAGAAATCTAATTGAATCAATCAAACTAAACATTCAAGATTGGATGAGTTGAGTGAAACTGTAACTTGGATCCAACTTGATTTGGAACTAATTTTAGCTATGTTGTTCATCTGCAACTAGACAAGAAGTTTAACTTTAATTATCACATGAAGCTTTTCATCCACACACATATAAGTCTATTCAGAATCCATGATTAAGATAACCAAATTGAACCATGTTAAATTTTATAAATAAGTGACTGATTACTAATTGGCTAAGATTGATTCGATTGATGATGATATAAGTTGACATTCTATTCAGTTCTTGGTTGAAAATTGGTATCTACCTCGGCCTCATGTGATGAAATGGATGTTATATTTGTATGTCAAATGTCATATGCTCAAATTTAACACTTTATATGTATAAAACCATTTCATATATTCTCTCATGTGTTTCAGAACTCAACCAAGAAGATTAAAGATCTTGAAATCTGTGTCACCATTGCCTATGGAACCATGTCATTCTGGCTTCGAAGAAAAGCCACAGAGTAAGTAGAATCTAATTTTGACACATTCCTTTTATCTTTAGGATTCTTTAATAAGATTTAAAGTGGACATTTTAATAAAAAGTTCAAATGTTTTCCTCTTATATATACACTAGAACTCAATCTCACATATGGATTGTTTGTGTACGTGGGGCAACAAACGAGGACCTAAGTGTAATTATCAAGAAAGTTGTCTTCCAATTGCATCCAAGTTTCAATAACTCAAAAAGAGTAATAGAATCACCTCCATTTGAGTTAACAGAATGTGGATGGGGTGAATTTGAAATAGAAATCTCAATATTCTTCCATGATGATGTCTCTGACAAGCAATTAGACTTGTAAGTCAATAATCATTGATGATTTGATTCAATCTTTTCAATTTTCATGGCAATGTCTGTAACGATTCAGTCATTAAAAAATCTTCAGGTTTCATCATCTGAAGTTATACTCTAAAGTGGAACATGGTCCTTTATCAACCAAGAAACCAGTGATTGTTGAATCTTATGATGAGATTGTTTTCCCAAATCCTCGTGAGAAGTTTCTTGTGTGATTAATCATCCATCTGTAATTGTGCCACGTGTTCCAGCCACTTTAAACTTGGCTTTAAGTAATGTTAGTCTAGAAGATGGACATGATAATAAAAGAGGGGACACTAAACATCATCCACTGGTCAATGGTTGACCAAATTCTCTGAGGCTGATGAGCTATGAAAACTTGTAGAGACACGTCAACAGGTGCAAAATCATATTATGAAGTTGAGAAGGCGATTGAGTATGTTTGATGCGTAGGGTAAAATTTATGTTACTTTTAAGCTTAAATAATAATTAAAATTACTTAGGTATTTTTTTTTTTTGAATTAGTGACATGGCATAATGACTTGATGAGTTAAGCCAGAAAACCTGAAATAACGTATTCAGACACCAACCCTTTACCAATTTTCCGTTTTTCTTTTTTCCTCCAAACTCCTCTCACGTTAAAATTGAAGAATATCTTGAATTTTGTTTGTTGAAATGTAAGGATAAAATGGTCATTCAATCTCATTCAAACGGCTTTGTGGTCTAGAAAAGAAACAAAAATTATATGTGCACCGGTTTATCCAGATAGATATCTTTATCCGATCAGCACAAGACTTAATGGGAAAAAAGAAACAACCCTTGAAACTATCATCTACTTCCACATATTGTTTGGTTTATGAATGAACTATTGTTGATATATGTTCTTGAATTCACTTTTTGTCAAGAGTCGTTGAATCTTTGTGAACTTATTTGGTAAATGAGCTATCTTGTAGGTTTGAATTGTCCTTTTATGTACTTTGGTTATAAGTTCCTTTTCAAGAAATTGTGTCCTTGAATGTCCTTTGTGACAATAGCATGTGAAGGTAGTTGAAAGGCCACATCACACTTGCTTTATTCGATTGTAATTCCATTGAATTAGCAGATATACATTATTAGTGGCATCTAATATTAGTGTTCACTAAGTCATAATATTGTAACCATTTGCTGTATTGATGTATCCATCTTCAATTATGGAACATGGGACTATCCAAAATTGCTAAGGTTGATTGACTATCAACTCTTTGCTGACCCTCTCTTTTTGTAAACATCCCAAATAGTTAATCTTGCATTATATGGATGAAAGATTCGAATAAAGAATTGTATAATACATCCTAAATAGTAATAACATATGTAGGGAAAGATGTCTTCACAACCAATAAACAATCTAGAACATTATGTATACTTATCTATTTTGTATTTGTAGTAGATATATGATTAAATTTATTTCATCACCTAACATATGAAACTTTGTAGTAAAAAGAAATAAAGCCAAACTAAAATTAAAATATAAATTATAAAACTTTGAGATTGTATATGAAAATGTATATCAGTGTTGTTTTTTTATAGATATAAATAAAGTCTGATTTATTAGTAGATTGTCATATTAAATGTAAAAGCACAAATAACATAAGCTCGTAACATGTCGATATCAATCAGGACCAAAGATCGGGCACCCAACAAAGTTGGTGCTTTTCCTTTTTTAATTTTTTTCTCTTTTTTTTTTTTGTTTTATCTAAACTTCTCACACCACATCACTATAAAGACAGTCTAACAATTAAAATTGTTTTCTAACAACAAAGCCAACATTTCATGAACTTGTATAACCTATATTCTTTCAATTGTGGGTGTTTTTCGCTAACCATTTCACCCAAAATTTAAGGACCTTGTATATCTAATTTACGTATCACATATTAACTCGGGTTGTTGAAATTTAACATTAGATGTTTGCGATAAAATAAATGTTACACCTTTTTACATGTGGTACCTTCATTGCTACGTAAGTTTTGGTCCCACCATATGCGGTCTATGCACAACCTATTTTGGATCTCTTGAAATAGAGATGGACACGATTTTGGAAATAAATTTGATTGTCGAAAAGTTTTAGATGTGGTTTTGGCATATATCTTTGAATGAGGTTTATCAAAATGCCTTTTAAACAAGATTAAGTCTAGATATATGAGACGAGTCTTCGTAACTCCATACACACAAGTCCCATGTAATAATACTTGTTTTATTTGGGTATATTAATGTTCTTTTTATAAGCTAGTCATGATAACAATGAAAAATACATTCCACTAATCCTCAAATACTTAGAAATATCAAACATTAAACACAGGGACGGATACAGGAATACATGATAAGTGTTGCCGGGATGAATATGTGTTGGCGATACATGAAAATAGGTAGAAAAAACTGAAAATTCGAAAAAAAATTCATTGCGGCCAGAAAAATTAGGGGTTGTCGGTGCCACACCGGGAACCCCTTAGAACCGTCCTTGATCAAACATCAAACAATAATAATAATAATAATAATAATAAAGTAAGTTATTTGTTACACCAGATACGTACATATATAAGAAATAATGGTGTCGCAAAATATCAAAAGTGTTTCGAAATAAAATAAAAAATACATCATATTTATTAAATTTACGATGAAATTTAGTATATGATGACGTGAGTAATAATCTTAGGTCATCTGATCTGTTTTGGGGTTAATATTGTTTTAAGCTAACTAGTCTACAACTTTCTTACTAGTATGTTATTTATTTTTATTCTATTTACGTGAAAACAAGTAATTATTTGATATATGGATTGGGATATCCCATAAATCTTTTTTTTTTTCTTATAAATAATTAATCTATTAAATATAACTACAATACAATCTGAACAATTTTGTGCATTAAGTCTTCTTGTTTTAATTAGTTAAACTTTTGATGGCCATTAGTACCAAAATTTTAAAGAAATGTGTTCCTTAGCAAAAAATTGAAAATCTCTTGTTGGTCAAAACAGCCGATGTAGAGTAAGGTAGTGTTTGTTTTTTGTCTGCAGATCTGTGTGGCCTCTTCTGTCTGCGCCGCGCAGACCACGCACAGACATTAGCCTTCGCAGACTGTTTGTTTTTTTGAAGACTGCAGACCTAAAAATGTCTGCGCGCCCTCTTCTTGGCGCAGATGTGGACCAGAGTCTTCTAACATCTTCAGACATCTTCTAGCCTAAAAAAACATATATATATTTATTTTTTTAAGTTTTTTTAATTTATATTTTTTCCAACTTTATTAATGATAAACAATTTGAAAAAAAAAATTACAAAACTTAAAAAAAAAACGTTCGACGATACCAAACATGATATTTTTGACAAATTTATAAATAAAGCTTTATTACAATAATAGTCGTTGAAGTTGTTTATATAAATATGAAAAAAAAAATCATAATATATTCTTATATTTTTTTGCCAAATTTTATAAAACATTATTTAATACAGTATCGTCGATTTTTCGAGAAAATATTTATGGTTTGTTTTTAATGGATTTAATTGAAAAAATCGAAATTTATTTTCATCTATTTATGTATCAAATTCTTTGATCACTAATTATAATGTTTAGTTATAACTTTGCAACTAAAGTTGTCGGTTTTTATCAAATATATACGTTAATTCATACCATTTTTATTTTTATTTTTTATTTTTATACAATAATAGATAAAAGTCGATTTATATTCGTTAATTATTTATAACAAAGTTATAAAAATATTAAAAAACCACTTTGAAGTTTAAAAAAATCAGTTTATTTAGATTTCAGTTTATTTTAGTAGCCCGCAGATGTTAAAAAAAAACAAACAGTCTTCTTTTTTCAGAATGCAGACGTTTGGTCCACCTCTTCTACTGCAGAGGTTTACAGATATGGTCCGCAGACTGCAGACATTTTGCCTCAGAAAAAACAAACAGCACCTAAGTGTTTAGTTGTTCCAAAATAAAATGTTAAACTTTTGATTTTATCCTTTTTACCCGTTTATAATTAAATAAAACATAGTAAAAATTAATCGATTTTATATAAGTAAATCGGTCAAAACTCAAAACAATATGGCTTTTAATGCATACATATTGCTATATAAATGAAAGGTCCCCTTGGGTCTTGGTGTCATATACAAAGGTGGCAATGTAGGGTTAGGCCAAAGTGACATGAAGCCGTGTCATTATAGTGATTATACAAACACACCTTCTTATGAAACCACCTTCGTAACCCTGCCTCTCCTCCACATGCATTTGCCTCTCAACTCCCTTATAAAAGCCCTTCACCACCACCACCATCATCACCACGAACCAATCCACCTCCACCACCACCATCTAACCATTACACACACAAAGAAATTGATAATGGGTCTTAGAAGATCTCACAACAAACAAACACAAGCAATAGCCGACAAGAGAATCATCAAGAAAGGCTCAAATATTGAAGACGATGACAATGGCTACCCAACTGACGTCCCCAGAGGACACTTTGTAGTGTACGTAGGAGAAAGAAGAAGCAGATACATCATACCGATATCATGCCTACATGACATAGGGTTCCAAATCCTGCTACGTCAAGCTGAGGAAGAGTTTGGGTTTAACCACGACATGGGGTTGACCATTCCTTGCCTTGAACAAGATTTCTTGTCTATCTTCTCTTGAAATCGCTAATATTAAACCGAATCGTAAACACCAACAGAAGCTTTTACCCATTGGTTTACTCATCTTCGTATCAAGTTTTTCGAAATATTAAATGTAATTCATCAAGCCATTTTTTCTATTTTTCTCATGTGGTGGTATGAACACCCTTGGAAAAATATTGTGTTGTTCATATCATATTGTCCAGTTAATCTGTTGGATATGTTAATGAAGTTTTTTTTGAACCACAACTATGGATTCTAACTCATGAGTACGCATATAAAATACGTACTATTTAAACAAGTTTGAACTATATATTAAAACTTATTTACTAACAGGTTTGAACTATTTAAACAAGCTAGCCTAGTACGTATATAAATACCATCTGATTTGTATGTAAAACCTTATTTTAAGTGAGTTGTAATCCGTTGATTACCCTACGGTAGTCGGTAGATCATCGTATATATCTAAATTTTATTTAGAAACAATCGTAAATAGTCTTTTGAATAAGTTTGAAACACCACGGATTGATTGATGTTGTTGTACAAAAAACAATTTCCCAATATTGTACAGCCATTTCAAGAAATATTCGAATAATCGTTTTTACGTTTCTAATGAATATTTATCTAAAAACTATTCGACGATATAAGATTCTAATAACATTTCTTAACTGCAATTGGCCACAAAAGCTATTTATGGCCTTTTTGGTTTTTAGTGCTATCCTTTTGTGTCATATTTTCAAGTTATACGTACCTTAGATCTACGGACGTGTAGCTTAATTTAGGCCCTTACAATTATGACCTTGAGAAACTTATTTGGCATTAAAATATGTTCAAATTTTAAGCCATTCATATATATCAATATTTTGGAAGCGACATTGGTATATACGAATAATACGCTGACTCTAATACTATGTAAGATATATATAAACGCTAATACGCTGACTCTAATACTATATAAGATATATATAAAGTTTTCTTCCAAATTTTTTTTGTAAGAGAGGGTGAATCATATATATATATATATATATATATATATATATATATATTATATATATATATATATATATATCAAGATTCTAAAAAGCTCGTCATGGCTCCGCCATGGCGCGCCATGACTCCAAGGCTTGTGTCTGCCGCCAAGCTTTGCCAAAACGCCGTCTTAACTCATATATGTGTATAAAATAGAATAATAGTTGAAAATACATATAAAAATATTAAATATATATAAAATTGCCGCCTTAAGTCACGCTTTACAAACGACATGGCTCGCCAAGGCTCGGAAAAGCTTGAGCCTTGACATTGCCGTCAAGTCACGCCTTACGTTATTTAGAACCATGATATATATATATATATATATATATATATATATATATATATATATATATATATGACTTTTTGACAATGATATGTGATACTAGTATTACTGAATCCAATCTTTATGGATGTATAATTCTCTAAGGATAATGATTAATGAAGGAGAGGATAGGTAATTAGTCTCTTGATGAGAGAGAGAGCTTATATTATTGATATCTTCATATCCATTGGGTTATAACTCTTTATAAATGCATTAACAAAAATATGTTATTATGAAAAACATCGAGGTAATATATATATATATATATATATATATATATATATATATATATATATATATATATATAAAAGGTTTTGTTATGGTCATTATAGATTTCATCAAGCAAGACAACAAAAGAAAAACCTTGAAACTGAATAGTCGTCAAATAACGGATCCACCATGACACCATATAAGCTAACTAATCAACCATATGTTGTTGTAATCAAAGTACTTACGTTAATATAACCTCCTTATATTATCCATTAAAAAAGATGCCATATTTAAGATGTAGGGTTGAATATAATATATACATGAAATCTAGGAGCCAAATAAGCCCCCTTCTAGATGTATTACACACACGCTGATATCATGCATCCTAGGCACGCCAGAAATACCAAGGGTATAAACCGTATCGCCAAGTCTATTGTCCCTTTTTGCTAGCCAACACTCATTCCAGCCTGGATCGGGCCATCCCTTGATGACCAGAATCCGGTTTCGAACATACGCGGGAAAGTCAACAGGCGACAAACCATCACCTGCTAACTCCAGTGCAAGTGCACACACCACTACCGCGGCTAAGCCAATCACGGCTTAGGCAGGGGACAAAGGTACAATCTACTAATCAGCGCCTCTGTCCCGATCGGGGTCTGACACCCCTGCCCCCACGAGTGGGATATGTGCCCAAATCCTCATTATAAAAGGTCATATGCCTTCAACGGTAAAGGGATCTGAACTCTCACTCTCTAAGCCTTACGATATATACTTTCTCAGAGATTAACTTGACCATCGAAGCGCTATTTCGGACATCCTCCCGGAGAACAGCCGACGGCCTGTTTCTTGTTGTGATTACAGATCTCCGTGGGGATCCACCCAATAGAGCTATCGCCATCATATCGGAAACCTAATATCACATCATTGGCGTCATTTGTTTGCTGAGACAACGATACTAAAAGCCTTAACCACCAAACTCCAAACATGTAAAACGACGGAGAGGGAGGCACCAACAATATGATGTAAAGCCATGTTCAGCCAATGTCATCCCTCGACTCAATCATCACTGAAACAAGTCGGACGACCACCAGAACTGTCGCATACGCCCATACATCGGGGATGACGATAAATAAATTATGGATACCTACTCTCACTCTGATAAGTGTACAACAATCAACCAAGAAAAAGCTCCACACTAAACACTGTGTAGACACCAACTTCCCTACTCTTCGGCAACACACCACCATTTACGCCGCTACAAATAGAAATGCAGCCCTACATGCATGTGCAACCATTACCGAATTTCCAACTGATAGACTTAACACAAGGGACACTACCGTCCCTAGTTGCACCATTCATCAACATGGAAAACAACTCACCACAAACATTTTCCTCACCTATTCAGTTTGGTATCTCCCTCATATACTCCAACATGCCCTTCAATAATGTTCATGCACAACCATTCCCAACATTCACCAACATGTTAAATAATGCACACCATCCAAACTTCCCTACACCCCAACACACAATTTACCCACAAATCCAAGCAAACAACCACATAGCCCCATTAGATCAACATATATCGCCATTCATACCAGAACTACATGAATACGGCATGCCCACTACAGCCAAACTCCCACACCTAAAAATATACGATGGAACAACCTGCCCAAATAGCCACATAGACACATACAAATGGAACATGGAGTCGCTAAAGCTAGATAAGCGATTCTGGTGCATACGTTTCCAACCACCCTATATGGGAATGCAGGGGCCTGTTTCAAAAGCATAGCGCCAAACAGTATCCGCAATTTCACAGAGTTGAAGGAATTATTTCTCACCAACTTCATGCAGTTACGAAAATATAGAGGGGATGTACAAGAAATCATTGGATGTAAGCAACACGGATGGAGTCCATGAGAGACTACTTCAAGTGTTTTAATGAAGCCACACTTGATGTTCCACGGCAATGTGACCATCTCATCACTGGAGCTTTCACACATGGCCTTCTACCTGGAACATTGTCTAAAAAGTTTCTTAGGAAAATGCTTATGAGCAGACAGGAAATGAATGAAAGAGTCCAAAAATACATGCGACAGGAAGAACGCACGGCGGCCAAAGAAGCATATTTAAAAGCAGCAAACTCCCAGAAGGGAAAGCCAAGAGACAACTATAACAACCAATCCGAGTGAGGATACGGAAGTAGGATTTGATACTTCCACAGACCCTACCGACAATACCAAGGAGATGATAGGAGGCACAAGCGCCCAGACATACTGGCGATCATTAACAAAGCAAAAAGTTCCAGAAAAATTTCAGGATAGGCTACCCGACAAGTCGAGATATTGCGAATTCCACAAAAGGCTAGGTCACGATACAACTGACCGTAGCGTCTTATAGAAAGAACTAGACGAATGCATCGGTAAATGGAAGCTCAAGGAGATAGCCACGACCCTAAGAGAATGCCATAACACGTGCGAGCCAACAAACCGACCAATCAAAGAAGAACCGGAGGCCACAGAAAAAGGGTTAGAGATACTCACCATTGGAATCTATCACCAAACCAAAGCACCAAGCACGAACACATCAACCGCAAAGAGGGCAGAACTATAATTCTTACCATATGACCGTGCTCCTCTGGATTGGGGAGGGCACAATCCCCTAATAGTACGAGCCCAGATAAAAACACCACAATCCATAAAGTCTATGTCGATTGAGGAAGTGCGACAAATATTATGTTTGAACACTACTTCAGACAATTATCCTCCAAATGAAGGGAGGGGCTGGAACCGCCACCATGTATATTAACAAGCTTTGATGGGCACAGTGTCACATCGTTAGGTGCAATCATCATGCCTCTCACGCTAGAAGACGAGAAATAGTGCAAGGAAAAAATGATAAGGCTACACTTCATCATTGTCAGGGTAGAGTCCAATCATAACTTAATCGTAGGGAGAACATCAATGCTCAAATTCGGAGCAATCTCGTCGACCGTTCATAGCCTAATTAAATTCCCCACAGGAACGGGCATAGCGACTGTCAGGGCCATCACAAAAAAACTATTGAATGCAATCAAGTTATGACACCCAAGGAAATCATAAGAGGTACAAACACCCAATGGAATAAGGGTCAAAGGCGAAATAAGTAATATACGACAAGTACCCAGATCAGAAGGTCAGAATCGGTTCCACACTACCTTACCAGACAAGAGAAAAGCTACTCACCCTGCTACAAAAATACAAACACGTTTTTGTATGGGAACCTACCGACATGGTTGGGATAAGCGGAGAGATGATAGAACACAACCTGAATGTTAAAACGGGTAGCACGATAATAAAACAAAAAAGGAGAGGGCAGTATGGTGACCGAAACAAAGCGTTAAACACAGAAGTAGAAAAACTCGTCCGAGAAGGCATTCTTAGGGAGGCTGTCTTTCCTTCCTGGATAACAAACCCATT